CACACACACACACACACACACACACACACACACACACACACACACACACCCCTACCTTATTTATATGATAAATTCAGAAATCTGGCACAGCTATCTAGTATATTGTTTCAAAGTGTGATAAATTAAAGGCAAAGCAGGAGGCACATTTCACAACTCAGGGTTCAGGGCATTGTGCAGTGAACCTGGAAATGCAGCAGTGTTTAAACATTTGTCTTCTACAAGAAAGGGTGATTTATTTCATATTTTCATATAGTGATTAAAAAATCCACACACAGGCTTGACCTTTAACATTAGATATACACAGAAATATTTTCTACCTCCACATTTAAAGTCCTCCCCTCCCCCTGTATGTGTGTGTAGGGGTGTAAGGTGGTTCATGCATAGAGGTCAGAGGACAACTAGTGGAAGTTGGTTGGTTCTCTTCGACTATCACCTGAGTCCTAAGGCTTGAACTCACATTGCTAGGCTTGGTTTGGTTGTAAGCACTTTTACTGGCCCAGCTGTCCCACCAGCCCTGTCCCACTCTTGTGAAGGGCAGTTGTGACCCCCTAAGTTGACCTTGCTGCTCTTAGTTTGAAAGTGTTGTGCTGAAGCTGGTGATGAGCACCCGCCTATTCTGTTCCCTCTTTTCTTGATACTCTACTAGAGCAGAGCCAAGGCTGACGGGAGAGGAGAGTGCCTCTGGGGAGCCAAGCAGGGTCAGATGGAGGCTGCCAAACTTCATGTCTGGGGTGAAGTCTGCTTTTGTAGGGGAAGTAGACTTACCCTTATAGTCTCTTTTGGCTTGGGAAACCCCTCCAAGCCTCCTTTGTGGTAGGAAATGTTCAGAAGGTCTTTTAGCTTTGCTCTCTGTGCACTTACTAGAGGGCAGTCTCTAGGCATTTTTGGCTAATAGGCTCTGGACTGCGTATTCAGTTCAGGAAGAACTGCGTACTCTTCCTGGGCAGCCTTAGTTGGTAAGGTACATATTTGTGTGCTGTTATATCCTCTGCCCTCACTCCATGTGTCTAGAACTTTCTGAAGTTACTTCTGAGTTGTTGGTGCCCCCACCCCTGAGTGTGAGGGCTTGGTTTGGCTTAACAGTTCCAGGTTACAGTGCATTACATTATTGCACTTAGAAACATTTTTTTAAAATTGGTGTGTGTGTGTGTGTGTGTGTGTGTGTGTGTGTGTGTGTGTGTGTG